CCTATTCCTAATCGCTATTATGCTCTGTCGCCGTTCTTATTGTTCTCTGTTTTTTTTGGGCGCACGATTTTATTTCCGGCGCTATCTATACTCATTCTTCGTTTTTCTTATCCTACCCGTACTATACTTTCATAATTGTCAGATCGCATGAAATACGTACATTTTGTTAAATTCCCGAACGTGCGTCGTTAACTTTGCCATATTTGAACTACCTACAAGGCAGAAAAGTTACGTTACTTTGATTATATTAAGCGGTAACCCGTTTAAAGTTCCTAGAAATTCAACTTGCTTTAGATAACTGGGAAATGAATATTACTGTAAGATTCTAATGGTGGGTTTTTACAATTAGTTCACTGTGCTCAGGATGGTTTCGTTGGTTAGCAACGCGCAATAAACCTTTGCTTCTATTAGCTATTTCTTAATGATTTTTGATGTTGAAATAGTGATAATGATTAAACCCACCATAAGACAAACCGACTGTCTATTGATTTTAAAGGCAAAACTATTATAGTCTGCGCTATATTTTTAGCCCATTTCCACAAGAATAAAAAATGTGTGGCCACTATGTCTGTCCGTCCGTGTTCAACTTTTTTTCGCTCTTTGGTTCGTCGGAACTTGCACCAAGGAAGGATTTTTTCTGCGTTTATTACCAAAAAATTTATAATAAAAATCAAGTACCATAATTTTACATTTTTTCCGTTTATTGTGCTTATAAATTCTATACGCTTAGATACTTTTTATAAAATCAAATTGAAATGACGTCTCAAACAATAAGGTTGTGCATGCGCCAGTGTTGGACAGATACTTGGACTATCTAGATACAGATACATTACAAAAATTGTATCTAGATACATTTTTAGATACATTTGTTTCAGGGTAGGTATCTAGATACATTTTGTATCTAGATAGCATATAGTAGAAAAAATGAAATCTAGAGAGCCGTGGAATTTTAGTTAATAGTTATTTGTTTCATTAGTACAAAAAATGTCAGTTTTCGGGACGAGGAAGATAGTTGCTGGACGACGCGTTAGCGGAGTCCAGCAACCTTCCGAGTCCCGAAAACGCATTTTTTGTACGAATAAAACATAAAATTTTTTCTCCAACCCCCTTACTTCAAATTATATTCGAATTTAGATTCAGTCACAGTTTCACTACTAGTATAAGAACTTCTGCTTTCTTGTCCTCACGTGTCATGCCACTCTAGTTTTTAGGTTAACTTATTACCTATTCGTTCTTACTTCTCACCTCTCGCGACTTTGTAGGGAGCAAATCTTGAGGTAGCATGTTCTGCCGTTTCTATAATCTCTGGCGGAGTGCAATCCATGTCGCTATCAGTTTCAGTCATTTTATTGTATACACAATTAATATTGTTATATTTTGTATTGAAATAAAATACTTACCATACAGTTTTTTAATTAAAATTAATTGCAATTAACTTTTTCAAATTTTGAATTCAAAATGACAGATAATAGTGCAATGGGCCTGAAGTAGATGGCGTTACGCGCGACGGCGGGTTGTATACGTATTAAAATTACATTCACGGAATGTCTAAATTACGTTACACATGGTTTAAATAAAAATAGCGAGCGTAAATCATTTTCAATACATGTACATACGTATAGGTAACATCATTATTTGCATTGAATATGCAAAAATATTTGATTTGTATGTATAGAAATATCTTACAACCTGCAATGTAAAACGATGTCAATGTGACATATCTCCGTGATTGTAATTTTTTAATTGGCCAATTTTCAAGGTCAATTTCTTTTTGGTACTAGGACCAAAAGTATCCACTTTTTGTACAGTTGCCATGGTGAAAGCAATTAATCCGCAAAACGTTAATTTTAGGTACCGAACACTGTCACAAAATAGCGTCTTATTCAGGTGGTTGGAGAAAAAAAAAATTTTACATCAGTCCGAGGTTGTGTAAAAAGGCGATAATTACTTTGAAACTCAAATTCTAATTAGCGTTCGAATGTTGCAATCGTTTACCTATTTCATAGAAACCTACTCATCTGTAATAAATCCCATTTGCGAGTACAAAAATCGTAGTTTACAATCGGATAAATGCAAGGAAGGTGGATAAATCGAGTAAATTCCGTTACCATAACCAACACCAATATTTGTTGTCCAACTTTGAAGCGTGCGTAGCATCCGTTATTTATTTATTTATTATTATTGCCCAACAGACAAGACACTCATTTACAGGATAAAGATTTTATAACTTAAGTTGAAACTAATTAAATTTATAAAACAAAATAACATAAAACAAAACATTGTGTTTTAATTTAATTTTGTTACAATGTTTTGTTGTTAACCAAGTTATTATAAAGAAACTCTATGTGAAATACTTATCGTCGAATGTCCAAGGTGGTGATGTTTAGTATTGCGAATTATAAATCCTAGTATTTTCATTGTTTGGCTGCATATGTATGTTTCACATCTTTTCAGGGATATATATCCGTAGAATCGAATTCTGAGATCAAACGCGAACGCGATTAACACGAAATTCGGATTCGACCGCCCAAAAAATATAAAATGATACCGAGGGCATCTCGAAAAAAATACTCAAGTGCCACCAGCACCTCGATCCTTTCTCGCTACTCTACGTCTGATTTTCCTTGGTTCCTTGTCCATCATCATCCTTGTCCATAGGTACTCTCTTGCGGTAAATTTTCCTGATCCCTTTTGCCGGCACCTTCACCATGATCGTCCTTCCTTTTACACTTTCTTCATCGGTATACGGGTAATCTTCGCTTACAGAACTCATTCTAGCGCATTCTCGTGGGTGTTAGGTGTGTTGCCTACCTTATTTCTGTGATTTCCGCGAAATATACTCTTATCACTTATCAGACACACTTTGCGTTTAGTGTAGATATTTCTACTCTGTAGATTAAAGGTATCTTTATATTTGTATTTGCCATTTGGTCTAACACTTAAGATTGTCTACAAAACAACCCCGGTGCTCGCTCCAACTCCTTGTTATTAACAACTGAAGAGTTGGAAACAAATTAACGCGACATCGTCCGACCATTCAACTTAAGTTCCTAAAGCAAAATCGTGCAAAATCATTTAACGTCCAAGAAATTTAAACGTTAAAACAAGTAAAAAGGTTTTCGCCCTGAGACGAATACCTTTAACGGATTTTCCATGCATTTAGTAGTACTGCCCAAAAGGCAATAGTTATGTTTTTCTGTACTTCTAAACTGGTCACACTTCTAGAATGTATTAATAAATACGTAAGTAGAGAAAACTGGAAAAGGGGAAGGACTAATTTTAATTAGAGTGGTAATTAGGGGGTTGCTTGCGCTGATTTTTTCGCAGAAAAAAGTACGGATCTACCCTATTTTCTCCGTAACTCACTTTTATGCTAAAGTTTGTTTTTTAAAAAAAGGTTTTTTTAATAACAAGTTTTTCTTAAAAAATGCTGTGAAACTCCCTAATTTAGCGTTTAAAGAACAAGAGCTAACCTTTAAACAAGCCACAACTCGGTTCGTATTGATCATACAGCAATTCTTAAAAAAACATTTTCTTTGATTTTTTTAAAAGCTACGATTTTGTTCCCCACAGTTTTTTTAAATAAAATGCATACTTTTGAGTTTTTTGCGAATAACCAGTTAAAAACATTGATCTTTTTTATGAAAAACTCGTACTTTCAGTCGCGAATAACTGAAGAAGTAATAACTTTCCAAAAAAAACGTATAGAACACTTTCTGTGTTAAAATTACAATAAAAAATTGGGGTGGCGACTACCCCCAGCATGAAAGCGCCCGTTTGGCATGATGTAGATTTTGATCCTTAGGGCTATTCTCTACTTAATTTCAAGTTAATCGATTCATTTTGAAGAATTGGCAGGGCAAAACCTTCATTTCCTGGAATAAATATGCGATACGTTTGCTTTTACTAAAAGCATCTATGGTTAAACTTTCAAAGGAGTATTTTTATAATTAAGAAAGTTGACAATGCGCTGTCTACGAATGCGCACATTAATCGTCAAATTCTTCTTGGCTCAGGTGCCAAAGCTATAAGGTACCGAATGCAAACAGAACGAACTAAATATATTGGAAACTGTAGGAGTCGGTAAGGCCCTGGACGGATAGACAGGCGGACGGGCAAAGCAAGTTAATGTAATAGCAAGATACAATCGTGCTTCTAATGTTATCATACAAATAAATAAAATTATTGGGAACTTTTAAAGAAGCAATTTTTAGCGAATTTTCCAACGCCATTGCAGTCACTTTCTCTGTCCATTCGGCCGTCTGCGGTCTGTCTGCCCGTCCGAGGCCTTATAACTACTACAGTTTTCAATGTATTTAGTTAGTTCTGAAGTTGTTTTCAAACTCTTCTGAAGGTTCCTTTCAATTTCGTTTTAATTTTCTTTTCACATATCTTTGAAAATTCTCCTAAAGTTTCCTAAAGGAGTCTTCCCAAGCTCGTGTCAAGTCTACAATTCGGCACGTGAGCAAGCTTTAAAGTTTGCTCCCAAAGTTTATTTGGCACCCTTACCTACTGTATTCATTTAATTAACTGTGACGATAACGTTTTCTATATAAAACGTGTATTGATCATTGTATGTGAGTATAGGTAATGAGTTTTTCCAAAATTATAAATGTTGAAAAAAAAACATGTATCTAGGTGTTTTTTAAATAGGGCCCCAGTTTGACTTTACGCGAAAAGAGGATTTATGTGTTACGTCGCTTTTTAAGAAGCGTACGTTATTAGGGGATGTTATACTGTTTTCTAAAAATAGAAATAAGGATTAATTTCGTCGACATTCACGATTTAAAGCGCGATTGCCAAGTTCGCCTGCTTTTGTGCTTGTCGTTTCGAATGACTTACTTCTGCGGTTACCCCCGACTTTATATCGAGGATGATACGCTAAATGCACCGCAAGACCGCGAGTTGTGGAATCGGAATGATCTAAACATGTAACCTTTATGTTTATGTAGATACTCCCATCCCATTCCGCATCAGGCGTCAAGCAAACATAAACTCAGTCACAGTCAGTTTCTTGAAGACCACGATGGAGCGTGCATATTGAAATGTTATTGAAAGGCTGAAGCGCATTCACGTGTTCATTAAAACTAAAACATTCAATGAAAATGTTACGATTCGTTTTGATTTTTTTAACTTTAACGTTAATCGAGGGACAAAAAAGGAATTTTTCTAACTTTCCTTGTCCGCTACGTTGTGTTTGTTTTAAAAAGACAGTAAGATGCATGCAAGTAGATCTCTCGGCGGTACCCGATGTTGCATTACAAACAACTTTGCTGTGAGTATAGATAGGCATTATATTTCAGGTTTAAATTTATTATATAATTTTTAAATCGCTTACATTGGCAACGCACATGCCTAGGCTATTTTTACATTTTACATGCATTATTTATAGACAGGTACTAATTATTGCAGTAGGCAACTGAATTCAGTTCTCGGATCTCTTTGTACCTAACAGAGAGGTCTGATTATCGATAAACCACATTTTTCATGAAAATTACATGCGTCAATTTCGTCCATACGTCCGCACGCGAATTCAGCACTAAAGATCTCGTAGAAAGTTACATTTTTAGCGGTATATTTTAAATGTAAAATACCGCTTACACTTGCGCGAATTTTATCTGTCCAAGGGTATGAGATCTCAAGGGTGGATGAAGGAGTGGAAAATCAGGCGTACGCGCATTTGAACTTTTTTATTTGCCGAGATAATTTATAAAATAGAAGTATTTAATAAAAAAATTATAACCATTTTTGAAATCAAGAGAATTATTTGTAAGACGGTAAAAAAATACTTAAATCATTAATATAAATTATAAACAGTAGCGAACCCCCTACGCACGCTACTGTTCACCTTTTTTACTTTGGTTAATTTTTTTAATCTACACACTTTCTATTTGTTAAAGACAAAGTAAATAATCGAGTTGGACATCGCTGTGTATTTTTAGGGTACCCGTTCTAGATATTACAGGGTAAAGTATTTTTTAGTACTTTCTATTTTTTGCAGCCTTTTTTTGTGAATCTTTTTTTTGCGCGAGTTCACGTGCAAGTGCAACGGAGTATACTTCGCGTCGACTGAACACTTTTTTTCCATAGTTTTTGTTGTAGTAATTAGAGGAACAGAACTAAAAAGAAGTACATATGTGGTAAATAACGGTTTTTCAAAATAATAAGTTAAAGAGAAATTATGTCGGGCGATTTTCACCGAACATGCTGCTGTTGACTAGAATCCAATTCCGCTGACTATTTCTTTATTAATTAATATTAATAACTTAATTAAACTTGTAGGAAATGTGTTTTTATTTTATTTTTTTATTTTATTTTTTTTAAATTATAGAATTTAGGACTCGACAAGACTTGACCGGACGAACGACATACAGACAAACACTAACCGTTACTTGATTTTAATCCGTGCCATTAGTTAACCAGGCTAGACCTGAGTTCTGACAAGAAACACTGATCATAATAATAATAATCTTTATTTTGCTATACCTCAACAACTAAACAAAACATTGTTCCGCAACAGACCTTTTTTCATGGTTAAATATAAAAAAACTGCTACATAACTATTTTTGCCATATTTAGCAAGAAAAAAACAATTCAAACCTATACTTTCATATGCTTATTTACAATATCTACAACATAAAATTAACTGAACAAATTTATTGAAAAAATGTAGGTATATACTTATCTTCCTTTCTATGACATAAATTATAGTTTGTTTATTGTGTATTGTAACAATATTTTTTTAAGATTACAGTTTAGGCAAATGGGCATTATAAAAAAACTGTTTTGATATTGTCATGACAGCGTAGTTCGCGATTGTTGTAAAGTAAATGTATTAAAAAACAAAACATCGCATTTTTCAGATAATTAAAAAAATGTGACTATGTGGAACACCCTGTATATTTTATTACATCATACATATGTATAATTAACTAAGATTTTTCAATTATTTTCATTTCGTTGTATAGATATCCGTGAAAACGATAAAAGTAGGTACTTAAAACAATAACTGAAACTATGACTTATATAGTACGGTGTTAACAACACAAGAATAACAGGTGAAATAAGTAATACATATAAAAATAGCTTACGAGATACCCTCGGAGATGCCTATATTCGAGAAGGTTTCCATTTTTTTCAGTACATAAGGCATTCTAGGAAATAAAGTTCAACAGCACTATGTAATAAATTGCACAGTTAGCTGTAAGAGACTTGATAACAAACGACATTTTAACATTTTCCTGGACAACTAGATCGAAATGAAAATAATTGAAAATCTTGATTATTTGAAATATTTTGGCTAGTAGACTATAATAGTAGGCTTACTAGTTATTGCAAACGCAGTGCGAATCAACTTTTTTAAATTAGCGCTTTAAGGTTGATTCTCACTATACATAACGTTTCCATACCATATCCATTCCATAACCATTCCGTAAATTATTATAGGCTACGAAATTGACCTTTAAGTGATATGTGCGTAAGACATTAAGTCGCGCGCTAATACACATTCGCCTTCCATATGTGAACGGAAAGGAGAGTGTGTATTAGCGCGCGGCTAAATGTCTTACGCACATATCACTTAAAGGTCAATTTCATAGGTATAATAATTTACGGAATGGTTATGGAAAGGATATGGTATGGAAACGTTATGTTAAGAATCAACCTTTACACTTAGGGCGGCCGTACACGGACTGCTTCAAGCAGTTGAGACCGACTGCTTAAAGCCGCGACCGCGCGGTGAACTATAGTCATTCATTCGCTGCCGTACAACTGCATGACGAAATTCCATCGTGCCGTCAACCGCGCGCGAGCGGTCGCGAGGCATACACCGACTGCTCGAGCAGTCGACATCTTTCCGATCTCCCCCCCCCCCCGACTGTGGTAAATCAACTGCTCGAGCGGTTGGTAGCGTAGCTGGAGCAGCCAACAACCGACCGCTCGAGCGGTCCGTGTACGTCGCTCAGCCGCTAACTGCTCGAGCAGTCCGTGTACGGCCGCCCTTAAGCTGATGGGGAAATACTAGATGAAAACAAAACAAAAGGGGGTTGCAATCATTCTTTTACGCGACTCCCTTGGAATATTCGCTCCCAAAAAGACTGAACTAATAAACATGTAGGATTTCGAGTTTTCTTAAACGAGCGACTACTTTTGGACGGATTATTGAGTTCCAAATGTTCAGGGGGCGAATCTATTCCCGTGACGAATTTCTCTGTAAACGTACCTCATCAACCCCCTAATGAAAGTGACATGTAACTTGCACACAGTGCGAAACAAATAGTTATCTTTGAAGTAAGACGTTATTTTACGACGCTCACTTATCTTGACTACTATAAATTGTTTAAATGGTCTGCCTAGTGTTATTCGTAACACATTTAAAAACGTTAATCACTCTGTTGACACAATTTCATTAAAAATAGTTATTAAATTAAACATGCAGTATTTTTGGGATCAAGGCTATCGACTGCTTTAAGTCTTGTTCTTTTTGTTCTACAAATATTTCCCCTGCAACAGTGCATCCTTTTTGCATTCACTGACGTACTTTCAACTTTGTACGGTACCAGTCGATGGATCTCGAGCGACTACCTCTGGCTTTATTAATTTGTTTGCGCTTAATTGAAGCGAAATGTTAATAGTTTGAACAGTTCATTTCAATTAAAAGACGGCGTGCAATTATATTAAATTCACTGATAAAATGTTTAATTGGATTAGGTACCCACTTACTCGCGTTCTTTGGGGAATTATTTTAAGACAGGTGAAATGGCAACAAACTTCCAGACTGTGTTCTAGTGACCGCAGCTCTTAAAATACTTTCGCTACTTAAAATAAGTCTTGTAAATAAATGATTGTGAAAGATTTACTCCAAATTCGAAACAATTCTTTGCTCGTGGCGTACCGGATCATCGATTTTTCGGAATTGTAACTTGAACTTCCGTTATTTTTAAAGGAAAGTCTCTCGGAAGTAATCGAGAAATATTTATAACCAGTGGGATAGACGGTAGAGGTAGCCTTCTGTGATTATTAAAAAGATTTCAGTTTCTTAAGGAGTTTCTTTACAAATTGCTATTTTCAAAAATGTTAGTAAAGAAAAAACCATAACAGAAAATTGCTAACCTCATTTGAGTTACAAGAGTCTTGTTTTCAAATCAGAACTGTTTGTGTTTGTATTCGCTTATCTTAGACAAAAAAGGGACATTTTTAACAATTTAAAGTGACCTTCACTCTAGGTCAAAACTAAGAATCAGGATAGGGACAATCAGCCCAGATAAAACTGGGAGGAATCATATGATGGTTCCAGAGCAAAAATGTGTCAATGGAAGCACTCAGTTGTAAAAAATGGCGTTGACAAAAAACTTGCTTGCGTCTTCAGCTCATGTACAGTACTCTAATGATTCGAATATATAACGAGATCAAATTAACACGACAGTTTTATAAAATTTTCGGAATTCATCTAAAAATATAGGTAAAGAATCTAATCGTTATTTTGAGGCTTTCCAGTCATCGTCCAAGTTTAAACGGCTTGCAACAATGATATCATGCACGCGTTCTTAAAGGACTCACGGTTTGCCTAAATTATTACCTTTTAATGAATACGCATCTAAACAAAAAAATTTATCGACGATTACCGTTTCAAAATAAATCATTCAATTATCCCCCATTTTATTCAATTGAAAAATTTAGGCGGGTCCCTCGTTCTCTCTGTCAAACTGTTGATTGAACCGGAAACTTTTATCTCTCTAGTTGTTAGGTACGTTAGATACATTGTCATACTTATTTTAATCAGTTCAGTACTTATGATGATCACGTTTCAATTTATTATTGGCAAGCGCTTATCGTTAGCTTTTTTTTCCTAGAACTGAATAGTGTCATGTATTGTTATAGAAGTGATGACAGAATTCGTTCATTACGTACATTGTAATTACATTGTAATTGTTGGGTATATTTAGAAATCGATTATCAGGTTGTGGGTAGTACAAAACCATTACCTCTCTGGACGTTGGTATCACCACATTGGTGTTTGTAGTTTGTCCGTTTGTCGCAATCCCTGTAATTTTGAATTTTCCGTTTTACTTGTACTGACATTTTTCGAATATCTCGATTTATCTATTACGTACCTAATCATCGGCCCTTTATTTTACACTATGTACACTGCTAACTTACCAAATTGCATAAATACATGCAAACATCACCTATATGCAGATGATACACAATTATATCTCTCATTTCCACCTTCTGACGTAGATCTTGCTTTATAAACTTACCAGAGATTTAAATAAT